ATAAACTGGAAATACGAACAATATAAAAGGGATTGGACAGGATTAATGTGTTAAAAATCTATGTAAAAGAATGTGAAAATGACAGTTAAAATTAATTGTTTACTATGTTCAAAAATAGCAAAGCTATAAGGCATTTCAATTAAATTTCAAACTTACAGAGTAGCTACTGCAATGTTTACTGCAATCAGTTTGCTTTTCCTATAGTACAAAATTATTATGGACTTTTATAGAAAAAGTTTTTGGAATACTGTAAAACATTCTAGATTGCCTTAATAGATCATATGATTCCACAGAAGACAAATGATTGATCTTCCTCTTTTCCCCAGTGTGGCGGTGGCTTCGTATGGCTTCAGGTACAGTTTTCTAAATATATCTCTTGGTTAGTGAAATGGCTCACCTGTTTGCAATGAGCCTGGATGAAATCATAGGGTACCTGTTCCATTTTCATGGGGATTGTAGCACTAGTTCATTCTTGAATCTTTGAAGTCCCAGGCCGATATTCACTCTGCACTTGTAACATTGAAAATGTTCTTTCCTCCAAAGTGTTTCTGATACATATATTAATATCACTCATACCTATATTACACCAGAGAAGATACAATGTTGTTAATCTGAGGTTGATTATAGTCAGGTAACACCTCATCTTATGAGGGATTTCTAAAAATTAATAAAACTTTTTTTTTCCTGTAACCAGGAGAATTATTTTTAACAATGTAGAAAATCTGCTGGATTGTGCAGGTTTGGCGTTGCACACCTGTGATCTAAAATCAGCAATAAGATACTGAGTGTTGGGCCTCATGTGACTTCAGGCTTGTGAAGATGCGAGAGATCTAGTGTCTTCTTTTAGTGAACAGGAACATGGCTGGTCATGTGGCCAGCCTCACCTCACCTCAACCGCGTCCCTTAGAATTTGGAGGGAAAAATGTGTTTGTGAAGTAAAGATGTAAAATATGAGCATGTGAAAATCTTTCAGGGTCTTGAGCAATAAAAAAGCATCATAAAAGAGTCCATGTCTTTCACTTCTCATTTGCCATTGTTCTTTCTTTTCTATATAGTTGATGTGACTCTGGACCCTAATACAGCACATCGCAGTCTCATCCTGTCCAAGGATGAGAAACAAGTGAGGCTGGGTGATTGAAGACAGACTCTACCTGATTCTCCACAGAGATTTCACCCTGTTGTTTCTGTGCTGGGCAAGGAGGGATTCTCCTCTGGGAGACTATACTGGGAGGTGGAGGTGGGGGAGAAGACTAAATGGACTTTAGGAATTGCGAGAGAGTCCATCAGCAGGAAGGGGGATATTAACCTCGGCCCTGAGAATGGCTACTGGACTATGTGGTTCAGGAATAATGAATATAAGGCACTTGAAGACACCTCTGTTCTCCTGTCACTGAGTACAAAACTCGAGAAGGTGGGGATATACTTGAATATAAGTTACCATTAATTGGGCAATTTGGAAACACTAGAACACAACACATTTAATACTTTAGTTAGTTCTTAGGTTCAATTAAATCAACCAAGCCAAATGCAGTATCTTAGAACTACAAGCTGCTTGCATTTTCATTCCTTATGATCTTTCAATTCAATGATCAAATTAAAAGCTTTAATGCTCAAACTGAAATTGTTCAGAGTGTTTAGAAATTGCTGATTTTAAGAGTGATCTGTGAAACCTGATCCAACTCCTAGGATGACCAATCCCTGCCTTAAAGTAATTCTAATAAGGACAAAAAAACAGCCATACTGCCAAAATTAATGGGTACAGTGGCAAATAAATGTCCTTGTAAGACGGGTAATTTCAGTCTGTACCATAAATAAAAAGTGTCCATTTTATTCTTAATACAATGAGAGCTAAATAAAAATTCTCTTTAATGCTAACATTTTAGAAACAGCATACAATAAGAGGGTCTATTAAATGTAAAGACCTCTATAATAAACAGATACAGCTGAA